CAGACCCTCTGCACCAGCTTCCAGGTCAACATCAAGATCAGCAACACCAACCCATCGACCAAGTTCATCAGGTGCATCTGCTGTATCTGCCCCTCCTGGTCGATCTTCTTCAGCATCAAAGTTACGTCCCACAAGTTCAAAAAATCCTGTTTCATCACGTGGAAGTTCTCCAACAGTAAAACCAAGGCCCTTGAAATCCTCTGAGATTCCTGGTTTCTTACATGATGCGCCCCCAACTTTAAGAACATCAGTGCCACAAAGGCCGGCTTCAGCCTCTAGGGATAGGCCTGGAGCGCCAAGTGTTAAATCATCTTCTGTTATGGCTGGTTCTAATGGAAAACCAAGACAGCAATCATGTTCACCTTCTAGAGCACGGGCTTCAAATGTTAGTACCACTACCAATGGGAACTCTCATCGAGTCATAAGCAGAGCATCTTCTCATGACAATGATGATGTGAACCCTGTACTTATTGGAACACAAATGGTTGAGAGAGTAGTAAACTCGCGGAAATTGGCACCACCTAAGCATTATGACCATCATAATACTGATAACGGTTCCGGTGGGAAGTCTTCATCCTCTGAAAGCTCAGGCTTTGGAAGAAATCTTTCAAAGAAGTCCATTGATATGGCTATGAGGCACATGGTATGCATCACTTTCCTTGTTCAAGTGCACGTTGTTTCCCTTCATTTGGATCTTGCATTCCACTTTGTACTATCCAATTCCAAATTATGCTTGGTGTGATACATAAATTATCCACATGACTAGCAAAACCCGTTTTTAGAAATAGCATTTAACTTAAATTTTGGAATTTTCTTTATACAGGATATAAGGCGAAGCATGCCAGGCAATCTACGGCCAGTTCTGACAAATGTTCCAGCTTCCTCTGGGTATAGTGTCAGAATTAAACCAACAAAAAGCAATACAACTGGTGCGATGGACTCTCCTCTTGCCACATGCAGCAATGCTAGCTCCGAACCAAGTGTCAACAACATTCCTCTTAGTTTAGAGGGGTGTGCAATTGAAGATATTGATCTTGGAAGTGAGAGAGGAAACTCCTCCTGCAAGACACCAAGGTAGGTGACCGCCCCATGGGACCATCGACCCCGAATTATTTGCAGCCAACCTCATCATTCTCCCAGCAGTATTATTTTACACGGGGGATTGGCATACTCAGCGCGATGTTTAAGCTACAGCGCATACCTGAACGAAGCTGATCTGTAAATGTTAGAGAAAGTTTGTGAGTCATGTCGATTCTGAGTATCAGTCCTCGCTATGCCAGAACAAGTATCAAGTGCTTTTGATGAACCATATTATCCGTAGCCATGATTGTTTGTACTAGATTTCGATGATTTGGAAGTTGAAGACCTCCTTCAGCATTTACAATTTACTGTTCATACTATGAAACTTGAAAATTGAAATTTATTAAGGTTTCATTCTTCATATTGCTATCATATTAGACATGACATTCCATGGGAGTTGCTTACACGCTCCCGTTTACTTTTGCACTTATCCCCTTTTCTTTGCCCGTTCATTATCTTTTGATTTATTCAATCCAAACACAACGAAAAAGGGTGGAGTGCAAAAGAGAAAATGGGAGTGTGGAAATCAGTTCTTGCGTAATCGTGCATCTTGACAATAGACAACCAAATGAAAGAAACGGGTGTTTAAAGTAATTTGAAAAATGAAAACTAATGAAAAGGGTTTGAAAACTTTGAGTTTTAATGATAAGGACAAAATAAAGGGTAAAGTGAATAGTACCAAGATTAACTTTTTAGTGTAAAAATATGGTTTTTCGTTAAAATAAACAGTACGTGAGCTTTTCGTTAAAACTTCTATTTGAAAAAGGCCAAGCAATTGAAAACTAGAGACAACAAGTCAATTCGGATTGCGAAGAGAGTCAAAATTACAAACGTTTGACAATCGAACAATTGTTCAAGTATGCTCCACATGAATGAATATGTCCCTGTCAATTGTCAACATATATATTGCGGAGGGAGACAAAATTACAAACGTTTGACAATCGAACAAGTGTTCATATGCTCTGCGTGAATGAATACATGTCCCTGTCAATTGTCAACACATATGTATAGAGGGAATCGGACCACATGATATATGATGAACGGTCATGATCATAGGATTTTCAGAAAAAAAATCCGGCAAGAATCCTTTTCTTATATAGGAACCTTTAAGGGAATGGATTCCATTTTTTATTTTATTTTATAAAATGGGATTAGTTGTAGGGTCTATACCACATTGAACTTTAACGATCCGAACCATCTATTTTTTAAGTTGCACTTCATAGATCATCCTTGCAAGATATTAGCTAAATCGGAAATGTTTAAGATATTTAATTGAGTTCAAAGAAATTACCGAATACTTTGTTATATAAGAAATAATGAAATTTTATCTTGATAATTAAATAGACAAATGGTTTCGGATTGAATTGAACTTTTGCAAGCATGATCGATCAATCGAGACTTATAAAATAGACAGTTCGGATCGTTAAAGTTCGACGTGAAGTGAGCTCCACACCTAATCCGGATCCCTTTGCATATATATGATATTCAACATTTTCCCGTGTTCTTCCCCTACTGCTTCCGCATCGAACCCACTCAGTAATAAACTAAAAATTAGCAAAAAGGAAGAAAACGTTCAAACTTCAATCTTTTCTTTTTGCTTCAGAAGTGCAGACTCCACTAGTCCTGGCAAGAATACCCAACCTATTTACAGATATTTTGAAAATGAGAAATGCTAAGAAGACTTTTTCAGACGTGAGATTTTCTGCACGTTTTATGTCACTTATTTTTTAGCATAATTTTTTATAATATTGGTATAGAAATTGACGTTAAACTGTTAATAATTTATTGAGAGTCTTACTTTGAAAAAATCTCCTTAAAAAAATGCTTGAATTAATAAAAAAGAATTGCTCACACGTGCATAAAAGATTTTACTATGTAATCAGTTGTTTATTCTCTTGTGTTTATCTCTCTCTGTGCATCATGTATCTAGAACAGTAATGTGGGGACTCAAAAACATTATTATTTTCATAGGATTACACATTAAAAAGCTATGGTTTTTAAGCAGTTAATCTCCATCGTTAAAGACTTTGAGATGTGGGCCTTCTTATATAACAGATGCGGGAAAGGTGTTAGTTCAACTAATCCATTTCCAAGGACTGGTTAGGTAATTAATCTTTAAATTAAAGATGTATACATTGTGTTATTTATTAATCATAACCGACTTAAAGTTGGTGTACATTGAAAAGAAAAGAAGCAAAATCCTGATCGTAGTAACCAGCTCTACAGCTTGTGCAATGGTTAAATCGAATTTTGATGGTTGTTATTATAGCACTTTATGTTGTTAACCGAGTTAAAAATCTATCGTCTAACAAAAAGAAAGAAAGAAAGAAGAAGAAAAAAAAAAAAAAAACATTTGGGTTTTGTCAAAGTATGATGCATAGGGGAAATGAAAGGTGTGGACTGTGGTTGGTTCGTCTAATTCAACTCTAACAAGGAAACCTTTGAAAGAAAGATTGACGTGTTGCCAACAAGGGTTGGCTCAATGGTCTCATCGGTGTAAGAATTGGGAATTCCTCTTCCAACTTGTCCCGAATGGGCGTTAAGGCAAAGAATAAGAAGAAAACTAAAGGAGAAATTTGTTCAATAGTAACAAATGATTGGTAAGGTTCTTGTTTTGTGTGTCATTCCGTCAAAGTTCGAGTTCCACTGTCAGCAGTCCTTGTTGGTTTGCTATTTGTAAATTCCTATACAAATCCTTACAGGTGACAACCGGTAGTTAGATGCCAAACGTAAATTATTCCTGCTCGAGATTGTGGGTATGTCCTGACATTAGCAGTGAGAGAAACCAATCTCCTCCTAAACTTTTACAAATCAAAGAAAGATGGATGTGTTGTGTGTTCAATCATAGTCCAGCAAAGAAAAGAAAACTCATAATACGAGATCTTATTTATATTAGAGAATGTCAATTTTGCATGTCTACCTTTAATATAAATTAAAGAATGTTAATTTTGTGTGTATCCTTTTAACATAAACAGATTAAGAATAACTAGGTGGGTTGATAACGTCCACATGTTAACTTAAGTTCGATTCTCAATCAACTCCAAAATGACCCTCTTTATTTTTATTTTTATATTTTTTTTAACTTCAGTTTTGCCAACTTTCCTATCTGGTCTATACTAATTTTAGGTGGCTTATTGATGTGGGATATGAGAAATTATGTGTACTCGAAACATTTGTCATGCGTTGAAAATTAATATTACGTGATGGTCTTTGGGTACACTAAAAAAACTAGGAGATTTTAACGAAAAACTTCCGGTATTGTTTATTTTACTTTTTATTTTGTATTTATCGTTAAAACTCAAAGTTTTTAAACCACTTTCATTAATTTTCTCAAAAAACTATTGTCGGGGTCAAGGGAAGAAAATGGTTGCCGCGTATAAAAAAAAAGAATCAAAAACTTGGTGGGTGAGTTTGAAACTACAGCAATTCGTGTGTGACCGATTACCTACCAGCACCAGAAAAGGCCTAAAGAATTACGGAGGATAAACGCCCAAATCTTCAACTTTGACTTACCAATGTGATCACTCCCACTATGTCCCTCTCCGCCAAAACCCCAACTTTAATTTTGATTAATCTTTCCCTTCTCTTGCAACTCGGGTAAGAAATTAAACCAAAGAAAAACAATGTCACCATCAGAAGCGGTTCACTCGTTTCTGTAAATAGCAGACTTTTGACCCCTTCATATTTATCAGGTTTCCCACTTCTTGTTATTTCTTATACCCTTGTTCATAGGTAACATGGGTTTTCAATTTAATCCTCCACTATTAATTTCCCACCTTTCATCTGCCTTCCCTGTTTCTATGCCATTTGGGTTGTCGTTTTTGCTTAAAAACCCAACAGGCCCAGAAAGGCAAAAGCACTTTTCTGGCTTTTTCCTGTTACAGAAGAAGAATTCCATAGGTTCCCAACTCAGGTTAGGGTTCCAGATTCCGCAGTGATCTGCTTTATTTCAAAGTTCCCAGCTTTTGCTTTTTCAATTTTCATTTTGTAGAACAAAAAGTTCTCGACTTTAATTTTGGTTCTTTGTGCTTTTGCTTTTAGTGGGTTGTGCTGGATTTTGGAGCTTGATTCTGTGATTTTCAGATGAGGGTTTAAGGAGATATGGTGTTAGGGTTTTAGGGCAACTAAATTGTGTGCTGCAATGGTTTGTGGTTGCTTCTCTGTGCTGAAATGGCGTAAAGAAGAGAGAGCTTCCTCGTCTTCCTTCCAGGAGCAAGGTAAGGATTTGTTAGTAATTAATTAGCAAATGAACTCTTTATATGGTAAAAGCAGTAAAATAGTAAATACTTTCCATTTTTGTGTGTTTCCCTTCTGTAAGTTGCTTGTAGCATAATTATCGTTTTGATTGCAGATTTTTGGGTCTCTATTGAATTTCAGAACCAAAGTCTAGGTTTTTTTCAAGTGGATGCAAAAGGGTTCTGTTAGAGCTTTAGTTTGCACCTTTGTACCTTTTCAGTGGATGTACAAGGGTAAAATTTTTGTGGGCAACGGCCGCAATGTAGCTCAAGTTCTGAGCTTGTGAAACATCTATTGTGTTGCACGTAAGAAATGAGAGTACTCAAATCTAGCAGAACACAAGCTCCCCGAATACAATGATTCCTATTGTTGCTGTAGCGTAAATTAATTGGTCGTGTTGTGTCTGTATTTCATCACCATGACGAATGGTAGTGTCGTGTTTGTATATCACCACCATGGTGAATGGTTGTGTCCAGGTTCTATTTTCTTTCCCTGATAAATTGAATTTTCATAGCAAGCTAGAAGAGTAAAATTATGCAGATTCGTATGTCTTATGTCTTTAATTTCTCCAAGACCCTGTTAATTATTTATTTATTTATTTCTACTTCCACCTCTTTGACCATCGGTTCAACTAATGAATTTAGAAATCTCATATATGAAGCAGAAAAGAAAGACCGAAAAATGTGTATGCAGATTACTGTGTTAGGCTTAGATTATGCTGTCGGATACATACATGCTATTAGAAGTTTTCTTATATTATTTCTGAACTGGATAAATTGATCTCACAAGGGTTTTTATGTCTGTATGTATGGAAATTAGGGATTATCAACAACAACGTAAGGCTTTTCTCGTATAATTCTCTGAGATCAGCTACTAGGAACTTTCATCCATCGAGCAGGATAGGTGGAGGAGGTTATGGAGTTGTCTATAGGGTGAGGTCAATGAAGCTTTTATTTGTGTAGTAGGTCTAAATTTCTTCATGATGGCCAGCATTGAAGCACTTAAAAATGAAAGATTTTTAATCCTAGGTCTAAAGGTTCAAGATTGACTACTGTACGGTTTCTTTATTTCTGATACTTTAATATCATTTATCACATCAGGGAGTTCTAAGAGACGATGCCCAAGTTGCGATCAAATGTCTTTCTGCAGAATCTAGACAAGGAGCAAATGAATTTTTGACAGAGATTAATGTGATATCGCGTATACGACATCCAAACCTTGTTGAGCTCCTTGGTTGCTGTGTGGAGGACAATCATCGGATATTGGTATATGAATATCTGGAGAACAACAGTCTTTCTAAATCTTTGCTTGGTAATTATTGGAATATTTAAGTACTATGTTTTATCTCAGATTTCATTTTCTAAAGTTAATTTTTCACCCACCTGCGGGGGGATTGACATGATTTTTAACCCGCTTGGTTGAGCTGTTTATCTCATCGTTTTTCCCTTTTATTCTAATCTGTCAAACATTCTGTATATGCTAATATGCAACAACTATCTTTCCAGGTTCGAGAAGTAAATATGTTTTTCTAGATTGGCCAACGAGAGTTTCGATTTGCCTTGGTACAGCTACCGGTCTTGCATTCCTTCACGAGGAAGCTGAACAGCAAATTGTCCACAGAGATATCAAGGCTAGCAATATACTTCTTGATGCAAATTTTCGTCCTAAAATTGGAGATTTTGGGCTGGCAAAACTTTTTCCTGATAATGTCACTCATCTTAGTACTAGAGTAGCTGGAACGGAGTAAGAATTTCTTATAACATTTAATTCAACTGCAACCCAGCTATGTAGTTCAGAATTTAGTTTTTGAATGTGGTGTGTTGGAGGTTTCCACTTTAAAATGAATGACCAATATGATCGAGTAGTAACTTCAAGTTCAATTCAGTATCAGAGTTTACGAAGTACATAGTTGCTCTTAATCTGCCAGAAATTTAGTCAATAATCTTGTAGTGTGTACTGCGTAGGAGAGTAGGAACCAATAGCCATTAGCAACTGATATAATATAAATGTTCCTACTAATGTTTTGTGCACTAACAACAATAATGTTCTGCTTCTGCAGGGGATATCTCGCCCCAGAATATGCGCTTTTGGGACAACTTACGAAGAAAGCAGATGTGTACAGCTTTGGGGTGCTCTTGCTTGAGATAATTAGTGGCAGAAGTAGTAGTAAGGTAGCCTTCGGGGAGCAACTGCTGGTTCTCGTCGAATGGGTATGCTTCTGTTATGTATAAATTTTTACATTGTGCTCAGCCAAAGTACAAAATTCTTAGGCAATGAATCATAGAAACCCTTTTCATGTTTTGATGCAATGGTCGTTAACAGGATGTTTTGCGTGCATTCATCTTAACTTAAAACATACTTACAAGAGGTATATTCCGAGTCCCTTGACAATCGTATAAATGCTTTTACAGGTATGGAAACTAAGAGAAGAAGAAAGGCTCCTGGAACTTGTTGATCCAGAATTGACTGCATATCCAGAGGCCGAGGTTATGCGCTTTATCAAGGTTGCACTGTTTTGTACTCAAGCCACTGCACAACAGAGACCAACAATGAAGCAAGTTGTGGAAATGCTTTCCAAAGAGGTCCACCTAAACGAGAAGGTACTTCTGATTTCCCAGGTGCTGAATGATGATGTTACGCATTTTAATCGTTAATAAACGTCCTCTTCCGATTGAAACATGAGAAGGCACTAACAAAACCAAGGCCGAGGATGCATGCAACTGGAAAATTTGGCGGTACCAGTTCGTTGGAGGAGACATCGTCATCATCTCATTCAGAGAAACGCAAGAAATCAACAGCAAACCCGGATATAACTTCCACCAGCTCGTTGATCTTTGATGATTCTGAAACACAAATACTTCCCAGATGATCGTTCACACGGTGTCGTATAACTGTTTTGCGGGAACGTTGCAAAAGTTCCTGGCTGCTTCACATTTTTCCTTTTATTTGTTAGTATAAAATGAGTAACAAAGCTTATAGTATGCAAGCGGTTGCTGATTTTTAATCTTGTTAGGTGACGCGTGATTTCTTGAAAACTTGTAACGTCCGTAGTGCGACATTACGTATCTTGTTGTATGGTTTAGGCTTCTTTGAGCGACAACCATGAAGTCCTATTTGTACTTGGTTCCATGAGAAAGAACCCCCATCAAAGTATCATTTCTAGGTTTTCTTAATACAACAATATATTTATAGTAAGCGGGTGGAATAAATTAGTTGCTAACTCATCATTATATAAATTTGAACCTAAGATTTCTCACTTCAAGTGAAGAGGAATACCACTAGACCGTAGCTAGACTGTAATATTAAATGGATATTCTTTGTTTTGTTAATTGAGTTAGTTAGACTTGGGACTCAAGATGCGTACTTCTCAATAGTTGTCGAGCCTGAATGACCAAGCCGAGCTCAAGCTTACCTTGACCTGTCTCATGAAAAATTTTGAGTTGTTCACAAGTTTTACAAGGCAAACATACTAATGCTCAAACTTGGCTTATTTTTTAATCAAGCTGAACTAGGCTTGGCTTGGTTCTTTCATGAACCGAACTTCGACGAGCCAAACACCAGTAGAAACCGGTACAAGTTCGATCTGTTTCGAGCCAATTTACAGCTCTAAAACTCAGACTATTAAGACTTACCCGAGTAGCTTAAGACAAAGTACATTATTTTTGGCTTATGTGGCAATAGTTCTCAGAACATTGTTTCTTTGTTCAACATTTCTCTAGACTGATTAGTGTTCGGGCGACATCCGCATGAATGATTTAACCCTCACATCCTTCGTTCGAGATTTTATGCTAAACCATGTTTGTCTTATCAGTGTGGTTCGTGCGTTGCCTAATTTATACATTTTTTTATTTAAATATTTTTATTTCACATGGTAATATTTAATTAGACTTATGGAACATGATTATGTGCCACATCAGCACATAATAGAATCTTTGATAGAATTGTGAAGGAAGGACCACGTTAATTGACAATCCTAAACCCTTAATTTCAGACATCCATTTCAAAGACTACATTGAACGATTTTCAATTGCAGGAACTAGCTTGAAGAGGTGGAACTATTTTTTTTTATAAAAACTCAAAAAAATTTAATACAAATAATAGCAAGGAGGAGGAATCGAATTTAGAACCTCTAATATAAGAGGTGTTTTTAGTTAAGGGTGGTGCTTCTAAAAAAAGAAGCTTATTAACAAATTTGGAACATAAAATGTGTTTGGTAAAATAAAAAAAATGGTTAACTCAATTTACTACCCTGAAGTTTTGTAGTTTTCAACATTTAGTACATCAAGTTTTTTTCGTTTTAGAGTCATACCTAAAGTGTAAATTTTGAGACAATCTCATACATCCGTTAGTCAAACTGTTAAGTCTCCCATTAACTGTGATGTGGCGCCCATGTGGACAATGATTAGGCGCCACGTGGGTCGATGTGGATTTTTTTTTTAGGGGTTCAAAAAAAAATTTTCCCGCCCAAATTTTTTTTCCCACAACCATGTACCTTACATTTTTTTTCCCGCCAAAACGTTTTGAAAAAAAAAAAAATTAAATAGGAAAAAAAGCCAGAACTTTCTATTCCAAATCTGCAAATTCAGTTCTAAACAAACTTTGAATTCTAAATATGCAAATTCATCATTTAAACTACCAACAAATTTGAATTGTCAACAACTTTCAATTCACAACAAAGTTCAATATACACCCTTCAATTCACACAAAAGTATCAAAAGACCACAACTTTTACAACTAATGGGTCAAGGTGTTCTTCCAAAAACACTCAAGATCTGTCCAAATCACTGTCCAAAATACTAATGGGTCAACTTAAACAACTAATTGAGCTCTGTCCAAAACACTAAAGATCTATCGAAAAGTTGTTTCCAAAAAAACTAAGGGCATATTCAACTATAACAAAATGAACCTTTAAACAACCTAAAGCATTAAAGCAGCATCATGGAACGTTCCTCCTCCTTTTCTGACCTCTTGCAATAGACTTTGAAATGATTTGAGAGGCTTGAGTTGGCTGAGATGAAGGTTGTGGAGCTTTATGAGCGCATGGCTGCGATGACTGAGAGGGTTATGATGCCTTAGATGTTGAGGCCTAAGTAATGAACCCATATAGCTTTAGCACTGACAGATACTACACTTCACAAATAACAAATTCAAATGAAAAATCAACAAAAAATATCAAAATTATACCTCATTTTTCTTGCTTTTTCTTCCTTTTCTAGCAATTGGATGAGGATGAGTGGTAAGGCATCTGGCCTTTTTGTGTCCCGAGGCCTTGCAAACACTACACTTCACACTTTTTTGCCCTCTCTTGCTTAACTTGAATTCATTTTCATCACCCTCCCTATGTCTCCTCTTTTTTGGTCTCCCCAGCTACCTTTTAAAAGTTGGAGGAAGAATGCATTTGTTTTCAGATGGCTCCCAAAATTTCATGCCTTGGACGGGTTGAATCAAGTTTTCGTAAGCTTCAAAGTACTTCTCATTCTTATACCAAGAGGAAACAAATTCCTCAGGCTGTCTCCTTGCATAATAGATGGCTGAGCAACCATGTATGCAAGGAAAGCCTGTCAAATCCCATCTTCTGCATAAGCAAGTGCACCCATTCAAATCCACCACAAATACATTGCCTCTGCCTTCATCCACTTCAAAATTTTCTCCTCCAGACCATGTAGCTATAGTGTGTGAGCTTTTCAGTTTATACTCCTCCAACGTTTTCTAGATTTTTGGGTAGATATCTCCTTTATCCTTCCTCATTGCATCTCTTCTCAACCATATCCTCTTCATCAATAAAACTCATATAGTTTCCAACATGGTAATAATAGGCTTGTCCCTAGACCTGAGGCTAAAAAAATTGAAGCTCTCACAGAGGTTGTTTAAAAGAATGTCACAATGAGTGTGTCTCTCAAAGTGTGACCTACTCCAATGCAAGGCTGGTCTATTCTCCAACCATTTATAAGCTTCTTCATTCATCCTATTCACCTCAGCAATACTCTCCCTAAAATTAGCGATGGTTGTTGCCTTGGCAGCATTCCACAAGGCATCCTTTAATTCTTTCCCTTTAAACCCATCTACCTTGTAGTTGGTGTATAAGTGCCTAACACAGAATCGATGATTACAATTATGCACCACCTTCTCAAAAACTGATAATAAACCCTTTTGTTTGTTAGAAATAAAAGTCCATGCATGCTGGTTCACAATTCCCAAGTCAGTAGCTAGCAATTCCAGAAACCAAACCTAATTGTCCTTGTTCTCGAGCTCTACTATAGCATATGCAATACCTAAGTTTGGTTATTTGCATCCATTCCTACTGCAAATAGTAAGTGACCCTTCAACACTCCCTTCAAGTGACAACCATCCAACCCTACAAGCTGCCTATATCCATTCTTAAATCCATTTTTACAAGCCCCCAAACAAATATAAATCCTCTGAAATATCACATGAGCATCATCATAGAGTAGCACCTTCATCTGAACTGTACTACCCAGGTTTGTTCTCATAAGCTCATCACAATACTTCCACAACTTTGTGTACTGATCCATGTTACTCCCCTTAAGGATTTTCAAACACTGTGCTCTCACTCTATAGGCTGTCTTGATGTGGATCTCAACCATTCTTTCCTCTTTCACTGTCTCCATAAATGTAGTGATGGGCATGCTTGGGTTGAGTCTGAATTTGTCCACATACCTCTTCACAAGCCATGCCACTTTGCAGTGAGGATTTTCCTTCCAAATCCTCGGACGTTCATGTTTCCTAACATAGGTTTTCACTTGCATTAAATCTTCATTGTACATCCTGGAAGCATACAATCTCCATGGAAAGTTTTTCTCAGACCTTGCACTAATCTTCCATTTCTCATTCCTTTTTAGCTTAATAGAAGGTGCACCATTCTTAATGGAGTGAGACCACATTGCCTCTCTCAACTGTGCAGCATCTCTGAACTTCAATCCCTTTTCAAACTTTGGATCATCCATGTCGGCTTCTTCATTAAACTCAGGATAAATGACCTTCTCGTCACATTCTGAACTTGAATCGTCAACATTGTGCAGGCCATATGAGTCTTGTCTCTCATCATCAAGGGGAACGTCTTCTACATCCCTTTCATCAATAACGTCTTCTGGATGTTGGATCCCAACCCCTTTCACCCCTTTCAGCATCTCCAACGACACTTTCTACAGCCGTATCATCTACTTCATGATGATCATCATCTTCCAAACTGTAGTCATTATCCACAAACTCACTATCTGTCGTGTCATCCTCTGCATTTACTGCCACAAAAAATGCATATTTGTTAAATACCTAAACTTTGCAAAAATAAGTGAATACTGAAATTAAAATTGTAAAAATAAATGTTTCAAAAATTTTACCTTCATTAGCATTAGCTTCTACTTTGGTCCCTTCATTAACTTTTTCAGCTTCGTGACCTTCTTCAGTTTCTTCACCTTCATCATTAGCATTGAGAGGACCATCTTCAGCCTTATCTCCACTTCCTTATGCTTCCTCAGTTGCTTCAGCCTCATGTTCATCATCACCATTGTAGGCTATGTCAATTAAAAGACATAGCCATTTTTCTAAGTCATCTGCACCCCTTTTTGCTCTACCCTTCTTCAGTTTTGATCCACTTCCCTTTGTAATCGAAATCGCCACCCTCGATTCCTCAATATCTTCTATAATGACACCTTTTTTTTAATATGGCACTCTCATCTAGATTCATCAAAAGCTTATGTTTCAAGGCAGCTTACTTCAGACTTAGATGTTCTAGATACATTTCTATTTCCCTAACCCCTGGAACATATTTGCACATTTCACCCACATCTTGGTTCCGTTCAATAAGCCTTAATCCGTCCCAATAAGACATCATAGGAATCCTATAGTGATACAACATAAACCCATCATATCCTAACTCCTTAACCATTTCATCAATCTCGAAAAATGACATGAAGTCTTTGTCTACGTAATCAAACCAAGCCTCAAACCCTCCTGTATATGCACTTTTAGACCACTTCTCACCATGATTAATTTTAAGGCTAAATAATTTGGGCATGCTTGCAAAGTCATGGAGAAAGGTGAAAACAACATAAAATCCTGGAGCACATGGGGAAAAAGGTGAAAACACTAGTAGGACCATGAGGAAAAAAGGTGAAAACAAAACCATGGGGTCCATTAATACAGTTCCACCTTTTTTCCTGAAACCATAGAAAAACAGGTGAAAACAAAACCATGGGGACCACGATTGAAGACAAAACCACATGCACAACCGACTACAAAACACAATTCCAGAAACCATAGAAAAAAAAGTGATTGGAACTCACAGATCCCTAATCCCTAAAATTCAAAATTGAAAAATCGGAAAGCCTAAACCCATATTATCTACACTTCGAAAAAGGTAGGTTACTTACAATAAAGTGGTGTTTCACCCACTTCGATCCTCCTTTTTTCCCACCCCATCGCTAGCGATGACTTCACAACAATCTTTCCCAGAAACGTGTGCGCAACGTACGATGGCGTGAGAGGTGGAGTGACGGCGTGCAAGGTGGAGTGACGGCCCGTGGGTAGGGTTTCGGACGGAGATGGGGGGTCGCGATTACTTTTCACTTTTTCACTTTTTTACTTTTGCTAGGGGAGATGGGGGTTGCGAATTTTGAATTTTGAATTTTTTTTTGTCATTGAAACCCCTTCTCTAAAAAGATAAAAAAAATAAAAAAATCCACAAGGACCCACGTGGAGCCCAGTCATTGTCCACATAGGATGCGTCACAGTTAACGGGAGATTTAACAGTTTGACTAACGGATGTATGAGACTATTCCAAAATTTACACTTTAGGTATGACTTTGAGACGAAAAAAACTTGATGTACTAAATGTTGAAAACCATGAAACATGAGGGTAGTAAACAGTCTTTTGCCCTTAAAAAAAAGTACTTTTTAAAAAAATTGCTGTAAGTGACAGTACAAAATCATAGAAAATCAGAGGCAGGTTTTATCATGCTTCTGAAAAAAGTGTTTTTTTTTTCAAAGCATAATAATCAGTGCTCGTTTAATGAAATTTTCAAATGACAAATATATCTCACCATATTTTACAAAATTACAATGATTGCCCCTACATTATTCTCAGTGACAATTATTAATATCACATTAAATACCATATCCTTTTTAGTTATTTACATATTCACAACAATTTATCTAAAAGTTTATCAAAAGCTTTGACACATTTTTTTTTTGTTAAAAGCACTATTACCAATAAAAAAAATTTACTAAGCACTCAACAACTTTATTTTACAGCTGTTTATTCTCATAACATAGCAAAAACAACCCTTTTTTTTTTTTAAAACAATCTTTTTTTTTTTTTTAGAACACAATAATACCAAACTAGCCCAACTAACCTACCAACTTCTTATTTATGAAATAAAAGCTCTAGAACTTTCTGTTGCATAATTGGTTTTTTGGTTTTTTCCATTCAATAAATTGAGTTGTCAAATGCTATTTGGGTTTTCTATTTGGATTTTGAGGGCCAAGTTGCTGCAAGCAATTTTTAGTGGCCCATTTAAATAAAGCCCAATGGATCTCATATAAAATTACAAATAGTCCAACATTACTAAGATTAATGTTTAAGACCACGGTTAATTAACAACAAAATTCAGCCTGTTTTCCGTTGGTTAGCTGATAAAAATTAAATTATTCCCACGGATTAAAAATAAAATATAAAAAAGAATTAAACCCAAAATAAAATAAAATATAATACCTTATAACTTTAAGCATTTTGAACTAAAAGATTCGCAAACCACAACAAGTGATCCAGTTGTAAGAGCGTGAATTTCGGCTCCTAAAATATAAAAAGAAGGAGATTTTAGGTTCGAGACCTAAGCTGGTGAGTTTACTTGACTCTGGTAAAAAAAAAGCTGAAATACATTTGTGAGTCTTCTGACTTCCAAAAATGATGGATACTGTGTCAATTGTCTCATTAAAAAAAAAAAAAAAAACTGAAGGATGCGCAAAAAAGTCCAAAATCATACCTTTGATCAAACGGTCCAGAGGGGGCCATCCTAAATCAACGGACTTCAGGACTGAATGGATATAATGGTAATTTCGGACACATAACCGCCCCCCTCCCCCCTTGGGCGTATAAATAACCGGCGAGTCTCATTGTTTGAAACCGAAGGCAGAGAGAGAGCGAGAGAGAGCGAAGAGGTCTGAGAGGAGTGAGAGAGAAAGGAGGAGCAGAGAGCAAAACTGGAGAATTACTCCCCAATTTTTCACAGAAACCCCCCTGATCTTTTCAACATTTACGAATTGACCTCAAATTCTTCGCGCTTTCCCTCTTAAATTTGATCTAAATTAATGAGCCGTTTAGGGTTCAAGTCCGTGGTCTACCATGGCGAGCTGCGTTTGGGAGAGCTGGACGCTATTCCGGTGACGGACGGGAATTTCCAGTTCCCGAACAATGAGATTCGTATCCACCGGATTTCGCAGCAAAGCGAGAGGTGTCCTCCGCTCTCAATTCTCCAGACGATTTCTTCGTTTTCTGTTCGATGCAAACTCGAATCGGCCTTCCCTGCCGAACAGCCGCATTTGATCAATCTCCACGCCTCCTGCTTCTACGAGTTCAAGGTTCCCACTCAATTGCTTCCATTTTTCGATGTTTGCATTTGTTTATATAGATTGTTTAGATTGAGCTTTCTGTTTGGCTCCCAAGAAAATGTACCAGCAGCACAGAAATTTTTATATGAAGTTTTTGGTGGGAATTCGATTGGATAAACGTTTAGTTAACTGACCTAGTAAAGTTAGCTCAGTTAGTATCGTGGTTAAATCAAGAATGTGATCCAGATTTAGTTTTTTTCTTTTTTTCGAGTTAATTAGGCGGAATGTACTAATAAGGTGATTAATTGTCTTAAGCAGACGGCGATTGTGTTGGTAGGGGATGAGGAGATTCACTTGGTAGCCATGCCTAGTAAGCAGAAGAAATTTCCGTGCTTTTGGTGCTATGCGGTTCCTGTTGGTCTGTACAGTGCTTCTCTAGGAATGCTGAATCTGAGGGTTCTCTCAATTGTGTTTGATCTCGATGAGACGTTGATTGTTGCCAACACCATGAAATCTTTTGAGGATAGGATCGAGGCTTTACGAAGTTGGATTGCACGGGAGAGTGATGGGATGCGAATAGCCGGTATGTCTGCTGAAATGAAGCGGTACATGGACGAGAGGTGGCTGTTGAAGCAGTATATAGATAACGATTGTGTGATGGATAATGGAAAGTTGTATAAGGTTCAACTGGAGGAGGTTCCTCCACTGTCTGATAACCACGAGAAAATGATTCGGCCTATCATTAGATTGCCAGAGAAGAACATTGTGCTCACTCGCATCAATCCTGAGGTGATCCTCTAGTCATGTTTTTTTATTTTTTTATTTTTTATTTCTGTATGTTTTATATGTTTGTTTCCCTTTTGTTTTATAGGAATTCAATACCCTAAATGCTGTCATTGGAGATAATGAATGAGTGCATTGAGACAATATGTTGCAATATCATTCATTACTAGGACTTGAGAACAACACCATCCTAATGTAAAATTTATGAAAACAACGTAGTGTGTTCTTTAGGCAGAGATAATTTAGCTGCATGCTAGGAGTGTAGCCTAATGTTGTTTGCAGAATTTTAGATTTTTTTTTCATTTGGCTAGACCTCGGTAGGTTTTCCAAACACTTGCAGTGCTTTTTTGATCAACATATGTTTGTTAACTTTTTGATCCATTGATACATTCACCTATCTGTGCGATATGTTCCCTTGAGTTCTCCAAAATTCATGTGGCAGTTTGATTAGGTAGGAAGCTTTTAGAAGTTATTTAGTAAAACAACTGTTATCTTACAAAAAAGTAGAATGAGTGATTACTGATAAGTCAATCTCGTCATAGTAGCTGCAAATATAGCTACATATTCTCATACAAGTGTGCAAAAGACTACAATACAATTTTGTTGTTTATTGCAGATTCGTGATACCAGTGTGCTTGTGCGGTTACGACCTGCATGGGAAGATTTGAGAAGTTATTTAACTGCAAAAGGACGCAAGAGGTTTGAAGTTTACGTCTGCACTATGGCTGAAAGAGATTATGCCTTAGAAATGTGGAGGCTTCTTGACCCGGGGTCACACTTAATAGGCTCAAAGCAACTTCTGGACCGTGTTGTTTGTGTTAAATCAGGCTCCAAGAAATCTTTACTGAATGTCTTCCAACAAGGAGTGTGCCATCCAAAGATGGCACTGGTTATTGATGACCGTTCCAATGTCTGGGAAGATAAGGATCAACCTCGAGTCCATGTTGTTCCGGCTTTCAGCCCTTATTATGCTCCTCAAGCAGAGACAGCTAGTGCAGTTCCAGTCCTCTGTGTAGCAAGAAATGTTGCATGCAATGTCAGAGGTTGTTTTTTCAAAGAGTTTGATGAAATTTTGTTGCGAAGAATTTCTGGAGTTTTTTATGAAGATGAGGTGGTAAATTTGCCTCCTGCTCCTGATGTGAGCAATTACTTGATGTCCGAGGATGCTGGTTTTGCACCAAATGGAAATGCTAATGCTCCCATTAGTGAAGGAATGAATGGTGTCGAAGTGGAACGAAGATTAAACCAATCTGATGATAAGGGTGGTGTGGAGTCGGTGGTTCATTCTGTGAAAAATCATGCTGAGTCAAGATCTGACAACTCTCAAGCACCGGCTGCAATTCTTCCCAATGCTGCTGGTACGACATCTTTGAGGCCGGTCATACCTTCTCAGAAACCTGGTCTGCTTGGACTTCCTGTTAGACGAGATAGCTTTTCTGATCGTGACTATGAAATGAGGAGAGGACTCCTTGGTACAAATCCTGGTCTAGATATAAGGAGTCAAAGCTCTGCTGAGCCCCCTCTGTTATCTAAAGTGCCTCTACAACTGCCAGCATCCTCAATAAATGCACAAGGAGGATGGTTGGTTGATGATGACAACAACAGAGGACATTCGAGTAATCACACTTCTGAGCTTGTTCAACAGCCTGGTGTTTCAAAACCTGAAAAGTTAGTTTACCAGAATCCTTTCGGTCCTGCTACACCCACTGGTTTGCTCCCACACAAATCTGATTTGAAGAGGGAAGAGGTATGTCCAGAATTTGTTAAATTTCTTTCAGAGTCACTTGTTTTGACAATTTGAATTAAGGTGTTACTATAAGAATTCCAGAAATGTCTCAGTGACCAAAACTTTCTCTATTTGCAGGTATCTTCTGGGCGTGATTTGCAAAAACAGAATCTTCCATTTCCAAGTCAGCCGTCAGGTAATTTAATTTATCGCCTGGTAGTAGAAACCTACATGTCGAACTGGAATGAATTGGATGATTTCATTAGAATGTATCTTTCACTTCCTAGCCATCATCTTTTCAATAGTAGGTTGCTGGGCTTTGCATTGTATTTTAGGTCATGTCACCTTGATGATATTATAGAATAACACTATAGCTTGCAGTCAACGTTTCATGGTACACTCTGTGCAAATGAGTCTTCTTATGTCCTCTTTTTCATGCACAAGTTAAGTAACCTGAGAAGAGATTGTCAAACAAATGGAAAGTATCATATGGATTTGTAAGATCCATTGAATGATGTGTTGGATTTGAGTGGTCAATGCATTAATCCATATATTTACAAATTTTAAACATAGATGTGAGACGTTGATGTTCCTTGGACCTTGGAAAATCTTGGATATAGATTGTTAAGTTTCCTTTTGATGTGTCCTTGTTCTCTCAAGTGGTTTGAGAGGTTTTCTTATTTGAAATGCTTGCTGCCTAATCATCATTCTACTTTTTAATTTTGAAGTTTATATGAGGAATGTTTTTGAGATATTAAGAAGAAATCAAGAGTCCGAGGCTACTGTCCTTCCGTTTTAGTATAGATTATTGTTGTGTTGGTTTTGAGACTGAAAGTTTTCTGCTTCGTGCCTAATGAGCCTTCCTCTCTTCTTTATCTTTCTATCCTTTCGTTTTAATTTTAGCCTGTTATCCAACCTCACAACTTGGAGGATGGGAATAGGATTATCATTCGCTTTTGTATGGTTTTAAGTTATAATCTTCCTTTAGGATTAATAGTATGGTGTTTTTTTATGAGTGATACCTATCGTTTTATAACTTAGTTTTTTCGTTCAGAGGCGGGTGTATCCCAGAATCAAGCATCTTCTTTGAATAGAGAAGCTCAAATAGAATCTGGTAAAGTGACCCTGCTGCCATCCCCTTTATCTATTGGAGTGCTGCAGGAAATTGGACGGAGGTGCAGTTCAAAGGTACAAATAGCTTTAGTTTTATCTCCCCAACACAGTGCCCCATTCCGTCCTTTCTCTCTCTTCTCTTTTCTTATTTTTCCTAACGGAGTTTATCATGATGTTGCCCATTGCTCAGATTGAGTTCAGGTCTGTTTTAAGCACCAGCAATGATTTGCAGTTTTCTGTTGAGGTCAGTGAACTTTCCTTCTATACTTTTTTTCCCTTTGTACTTTGGTAGTTTTTACTACTTATTTACATCACGGCTGTTGTACTTATTATTTACATGCCTTAAATGCATGAAGTTGTTGTGAAATGATATAGTTATAAACAATAGATATTGTAAAACTAAATTGTTGTCTTAGGGTGTGGTGTTTCCTAACATAAGCTGACCCTGATTTGTCATATTTCTTTCTTTAGCAGAACAAATTAATAATAGAGTCAGAAAAAAAAATGTCAAATCAATAATACAGTGTCATAAATTTTTTTTTTTTTTACTTTGGTAGAATGAAAAAGAAACTTGGAGAAAAATTCAAGACTTCGCTTCCTTCTCAATTTTTTTGTTTATACATTTTGTATTTATGTTTTAATTTTGATTTGAGGAGTGATCTTTTATCAGTTTTGGACTCTAATGTGCTCATTGTTAACTTTGTTTTAAAGGTTCTTTTCACTGGAGAGAAGATAGGTTTTGGAACCGGTAGGACGAGGAAGGATGCTCAACAACAGGCTGCTGAGAATGCCCTTCACAGCTTGGCTGGTAATGTTATTCTTAAAACCACAAGTTTCTTTTTTCCTTGCAATATTTTGAGATGTTTTTGTTTGCATGTGCTGAATATATTTCTTGTGTGGGATGGCAGATAAATATGCAGCATATCTTGCACCTCATACTGGTGTCGTGGACAGAGATTTAGATAAAGGAAATGAAAACGGATTTCTATTGGACATGGTTGGTCCAGGATCGGCTGAGCTACTAAGGGATGGATTGCCTACAGAAAGCACTTCTGAGGTGGGGATAATTGATGATGCTTTCATTAGTTGATTTGATTTTCAATGTTTAAAAACATAGGTGATGCTTGGATAAAGGGTATGTGGGCAAGACACCGAAAGGAGAACCACTCCCATTTTGAATTTTGCATCTGACAAAGATGTGATGGCTAAAACACTGAAAGCGGATTGAGCTGGCTTCAATGTCTGCTACTGCTGCCTTATTGGTTCCATCAATTCCTGTTTTGAAAGGTATGGGCTTGGTTGTCAGTCCCTCATTTCTACCCGTTATCCAAGTATTCCAATGTGCGTGATTTAGCTATGTTCTTTTCTCTTTTTGGTTTGAGTGAACAATTATTTTGTACCTCAATCGATAGGTTTTTAGACGTCCTCATCACCATTATCGCTTCTAGTTGAATGTTAAACTTCACATAGACTCGTTTTAAACTTCTCACAGATTCATTTTTCTTCCCAATGTTTGTGCTGGATCTAACTTGTGCATTGTGGAAACCATCTCCTTTTTCCTCCTGTGAAAGAGAAGCTTCTGAACCCAAAGTTTCTTCCTTTTCTGGAGGAATAGAAAACAGGAGACCTCAATCTAGCGTGTAAACTTTTTGACTTTGTTGAATTTCCTGATTAAATTCCTGTCTTTTCGATGCGAAATATACAGGCTGCTGAAGTTGAACCCGGGAGTACTTCTACGGTGAGTCAGCAAGTTCTAAAGCATGCCAGTTCCCCAAGGTAACATTAAGCTTCTTTTCACCCTGTTTGAGTTGAGACATGTCCGAAACTGAGTTTCTCTGTTATTTTCTGGGCTAATTCTGGAATCCTCAAGGGTTCTTGGCTGGACAGAGCACGGCCAAGTTATGGTTAATGTTGATTTTTGGCTGCTTCTTTCTGCTTGTTTATTGGATGTCTTCATGGTCCATTTTAAGCATTCAATGAGGTTCTTTTTTTCTTTTTTCTTTTCCCACTTGCCGCTGCTAAGCTAGAAGCCAAACAAAGCAAACTTCTAGCCTATACGCAATTGTGTATCTGTAAGATTGACGAATAGGACAAGATGATGGTCAGACACTGCCTGGGATCTAGAATAAAAGGCCCCGATATTCTCATGGAACTTTCTTGAATAATAAACGATCTATGAGTTCATTGCCCTTATTTCACAAATCTTTGTTCCCCAAATTTTTTCATTACCACTGTCTACCTTCCTTTTGCAGATTGATAGAGTCTGTTGCAAAACGATCCAAGGAAGAAATACTGCATGGTTCACGAAGTTTATCATTTTCACGGCAACAGAAGAATGGGGTTACAGACAAACTTTGAGACACAAGTCATTTCAATCAAGGCTCCTGCTAGCACATTCTTCTCCTCACAAATGAAATGAAGGTCTCGAAGAGGTTCGGTGCCTCCATCTCTTCCCAGCCTCCGATTTTACCACTAGCTTGAAGATTTGGAAAACAAAGGAACAAGTAAAATTGAAAAGATTGGCGTTTTGAGGCACACGACTCTGGCATCTTGTACATTCAGAATATCTTTTCCCCTTGCGGAATGCTGGTTTCAATATCGCCAAGGCGGCGTGTAAGTTTTGTTGGTGGAAAGGTGGGCTATATTTCTTTTCATCTTGCTCCATCTTTTCTTGCTTGCATACATTGTCGTGAATCTTGAGGTTCGGGATTGCCATATTTGAATACAACATACATTTTACGTAAATCTGGTTGATCATAAGATTTGAGCATGGAAACTGAAATTTGAGATCCATCTTGTTCCCAAGACGTGTAACAAATTTGTTATCCCGTCAAAGTCGATAAATAATGACATTGTGATTGCTTCCTTGCTAAATCGTATGCCGGCTGTATGTTAGATACAAACAGATTCCGAGTATGTAAGACTAGCTCTTTCCCTAATCGCTGGAGAAGAAAATTAAATATTGACCTTATTTTTTGGTCGGGAAATGATTTTCGCACAACCCATATGTTTCATTTCTATTATTTGATTTTCTGTTGATTTATCCAATCCAGGTGTTAGAAATGAACGAGGGGTCAAGAAAAAGAAACGGGAAGTGGGTGTCATTTGCCCCAAAAATATGTTAGGATATGGTGAGTTTTGATGTCCAAAATATTCTTGTTTGATTGAAGTGAAAGTAAAAAAAATTATATAAATCCAGCTTCAGAATCTCTGATAAAAAGAATATAATCTAGCTGTAGTGATTGAAATCATAAATCCCATTAGAGGATAGACTGACCTCAATAAGCTTGTAGTTCGGTTGTTTAAGAATATTCACCTTTAGATACAATAAGTTTATAATTTTGATTTCTTCTTTTCAATATCGTTCATATATAAAAAAAAAAAAAAAAAAAAAAGAGTTATTAGACCCATCCCATTCTTTTATTTCTCCACCCAACTTATAATTTGACTCACTATAAAAAGTTAAAAAATTGAAATGTTATTTCTTCATCCACTATTATTCCTAAAATACCCTCTAATTTATATCTAAACTCATTTTCTTTTAATTGATTAGAATGTCATCACACTCGCTGCACCACCCCCTCAAAACGTCACCCACCCCGGTAAGTAACCAAAACCTTTGACACATGCTCGGTGGCATCTCCTTTGGGAAGAGAATAAAATGGGAGAGGGAAGTAGAGAGAGAAACATGAATGGAGGAAGAGAGAAACGGGAGGGTAGGAAGAAAGAGAAGCACGGGAGAGAGACAATGAAGACCCCCTCTCTTTGTCAGCGATGGTTGAAATGCAATTTTGATGGAACATAGGTGGACAACAGTGGGGTGGGGGCTGGGTTATGGAGTGGTGGTGGGTGATGAGGAGGGAGATTTTCAGTTTTTCCAGTTTGAGAGAGAGATGGAGAGACGGTGGTAGGGGGAGAGAGAAATGGGGTGGGAACAGGGGAAATGGTAGCTGGGTTTATTTTCTACGTTTTCTTTTTGAGCTATAATAACATTAATTATAATAAAATAAATAAGGGTTTAAAAGTCTTTTTATAAAAGGATAAACATGTCATTAACATTTTTTACTAAAATGTGGGTGGGAAGATATGACAGTGAGTGAGTTTATCACCACTCATAAAACGCCACTACACCCACTACACAACCCTATTTCCCTACCACGTTTTAATATTTTTTTTTACATCTGACCTTGTGTAAAATGACTTTTAATGCCCTTATAAAAATTATCCTAATCTATTTTTATAGCCAAAAGAAAAAGTACAAGAAACATTAAAAACGCAAAGAGAACACATGGCTTTCTTCAAATTGGAAGAAGTTGTCAACTGAAAAATTAAAATAAAAAATAAGAAAAGAAAGAGCTCAGCCATCCATTTCAGAAAACTCACCTTTTACAAGCCTACGCAGAAAGACCACACAGAAAAAACGATATGTCAAGGCCGTCATAAGAAGAAGGTGCTCAAGGGCGTTGTTAAATTGTGTTGGGTGGTGTTGGAGTTGGTTTTTTTTTTTTTTCAGTTCTAATTTTAAAATTTTGGAAAATATTTAAATTGATGCACGGACAGTTAAGAATATTGATAGATGAAAAAAGAGCGTTTTAATTGCAAGGTTTTATAAGGGATTAATATAAAATGTGGTGAGAAAATAAATCTTGCTAATCAGTTGATACCATTTCAGACAATGTAAGGAATCGAACTCTCGAGTCTTGACTTATTTCAATCCTGACTCATTTTCCCGCCCCCCTCCCCGGGCTCAACCCGAAGGGTAGCATATTTTCAACCAACATCACGTTATGACAGTACTAGAAAGAAGCAACCCAATCCTTACCAAATCAGCATTGTGAAGAAGCTTTACAAAACTTTGTATTTGGAACAAATTCTAATATGCCAAACCAAAAGAATACAAAAACCAGAGCACTCTTACATCACAGGAAAGTGGCAATACTAGTCCCAAACAACTATGTTCATATCATATGCACATATAACAGTTTGCTTATAAGATTGCCTCTTTCTCTCCCCTCTTTGTAGGCCACCAGAAAACATCAGCAACAAAGCAGGTGAGTTACAGGCTCAATTTCCCTAAATTTCTTCCCAGGTTATCGGCAATGTGCATGCTATAGCAATCTGAAGTTAGACAGAAGGTTCTGCAGCATCTTACGACCCCATTGCATGTCATTGTGCAAGACCTCGTTGATTGCCTCTGAGTCAGACTGTTCTTCCTTTTTAGCAGAATTCTCTTCATTATCATTGATTGCGGCAGCTGTTTCCACATTGAGGTTGGTCATTGCACAAGACCTTATCATTGACTGGCTCTGAGTGGAACTGTTCTTCCTCATTTGCAGGGTGAGGTGTTTGCTTGATTTCATCGTCAAAATTCTCCTCATTAGCGTTGATCATCACATTTGTTACTTCTTGAGGTAGGTCACTGTACTGTTCTTGCTTCTCTTCTAGCTGAATCCATTTGTTTGAGGCCATGAAGAGATAACAGAAAGGAGAACATCAATAACAGCATAGTCAAGGGACAATAACATCTAAATCAAATACTGCTGTTTAGCAACAATACATCGCCTTACGCATGGCAACTGAAAAATTATTCATCATGATTGGCGGTCTAACTTTGATCATAATTATGATTATATGAACTCTTTCATATGCTTTTAGGAATAGGGTCCCTCTAAATATGAATAGTTGACCATATGGAAATGCTCATGAATTGCCAGCAGAAACAAAATATATACACAAAATGCTTGATAGAGAATTCGGATGTCATATTCCAGAGTGTTAATAGTTTCAATTTGAATCAGACAGCGCAGTTTCGATTCGCAATAGGAGAATGTTTGGCCTGGGATTTATATTTACAACGTTAATTACACTGCAATGATATCGTGCGAAGATGGTCTACTTTGTTGGTTAATGATTGTAAGATATAACATGAACTTTTCTTCATGAGAATTTATAGACGATTGCTCAATTTCGATGAAATTAAATAATTGCCTTGCCATACACCATCATCATGAACTTCTCTTCAAGGAAAACATAGATTCCAACAACATACAAGATGAAACCAAAAACTACCTAGTAGTAAAGAATCTCTCCTATAGCCCTGGACAACTTGCAGTTTTACGGAAATGGAATGGATTGTTATTTCAGGGATGAGGTAAATGCAGTACAAGAAGAAACAGAAAAAGATAAAAGATACGTCACTCTCATCAAGCAGTTACCTCTGGCATATTACGATCCTTAGCTTCAAAGGCTCCAACCGAACCATCAAAAGACATCTGTTTGTCGATGCCCTCTTTGTTCGCTTCTTCAGTTGGAACAGGTGGTGAAGGAGTCAGCCCAGGTACCAGAACAGGACCTTCTTCGTAGTTAATTAGACTTCCCTCGATTTGAGTGCTTGAAAGGTTCATTACTGTTGCAGCTCCACCATTATTTCCGAAAATATTGTCTGCCACCAACAACTCCTTACTTGAGATGGCTGCACAATCCTCGCTCGGAAAAATAACTCTCTCTTCATTAAGCACTGCAGCTCTTGCAGCAACTGGTTCCTCATATGATTCCACGTATGCATTTGGCCATTTAGGGGTCACATTTTCTTGTGAAGGAGAACCATTTCCGGCACCAATTTGTTCCTTCCATGGTTCCACTAATGGCTTCTCTGCCAGATCAGTGTTACTATTGGTGATCGTAGGTTCATTGGTTATATTGAAAGCCAGTTCATCATTCGGCTGTGTCAGGTTCTCATCCACAATCAACGTATCTGCATTAACATTGGAACCATCGCTTTCATCTGAAACCCGATCTTCCTCTATTATTTTCTGAAGCTCAGCATCTGCCCAGTCTTCACAAACAGTGATCGCATTCTTAGTTTCCCAGGTCTGGAAAATCCGATCAGGGCCAGGCTGCCACGAGATATTCCCTGTGCTTTCTTTTAGTATGAACTTGAACTGAATCGATTTCCCAACTGGTATATCCTAATCAAACACAAAGACTTACAGTAAACCACAAATCTGGTATTCACCTAACAAAAAAATTGCACTTGTTGGTAGATTTCACTCACCATCTCAACAGTCCACACATTCCCATCTGACCAGTTCATCGGTATCGCGCTTGCAGGATCCCACAAACCGAACATAGGATCATCCCCCACAATGAGGAACTCCTGACCGAACGAGCACTCTTTCTGCAACTGGAATTTCACATGAATAGTTTTTGTATGATCTGCACAACATGGCATTGTCAGTAAGATTAATATGCCCATACATACAAACATAGACACACACACACACACACACACATATATATATATATATATATATATTATTTTAAAAGAAAAGGCAAGAACTTACATGCTTCCTGCATTTGAGAATCTGCAACCTCCAATTCTGTCTGCAAAGAGAGTGCTCAGAAATCAGATATGGAAACAACTTCTTCAAAGAAATATTTTAAATTATGACAACATTCCTAAAGAATGAAAACAAATTATTAGACTGATCATAAATCTTAGACAATCATATTGCTTTGTGTATATATAATATATACACACACATACATTATAATATACATACATATATATATATGTATATATTGTACATCCGATTACACAGCATGATTGATTCTCTGATACAAAATGCTTCAAGAACAAGATTAAAAATAAATTAAACGAATAAAATGATTATATAATCTTCAATGCATCATAAAGCTGCCAATTAATAATCTACTCCAAAATAAATAAACATACAAAAAACAAAAACAAAAAATAAGAATCTAGCCCCAGCCCAAAAAAGCAAGATTCCAAACTTTCCCAACCCGAAAAAGCAAGATTCCAAACTTTCTTGGCAACCCAAAGAAAAGAATGATCACAAAAAGCAAGAACAACATCACATTCTAGAATTTTTGAAAACAGAGAAAACAAAAATGGAAACTTCATCAAAATTTTAAAAAACAAGAAACGAAATAACTGACTGAAATTACGAAAAGTTTTCAGAAAATCGAAAAAAAGATTCCACCTGGGTTTTTGACGAGAGGCAAATGAGTGGTCTGATGGGCTTGCTCTGTTTCAGAAAACACACCAAATTCAAGAACCGGAAATTCTCGCTGCTTCTCTTTGGCCTGAGGAAACAAGGTTCATGCTTGCGGAGAAAGACATTTTCTCCGCCGACCCACTTCTTCTCTGCCGCCACCCTCGAACTCGGACTCGACAGGGTCCTCATGACTCGGTCACTGACTCACTGAATCAACCCTCCCGAGCTGCTCTTGCACTCAAAGTTTGTTGCTTTCTGGATTTCCACAGAGAGAGAGAGAGAGAGAGTATTGGGTTGTTTGCTAGTGGGGGTCTCTGTCACTTTTTCCTAATGAGCAATCGAGTTCTTGTGGTATATATAGCGGTGGGGTCCTCGTGGGGAGATAAAGGATCGGATCCGTTGCCACGTGTAGCTTGGGGACACGTCATCGGTAATTTGGATTGAATTGAATCGAATCTTGCTTTGCAACCCCAACCAACTGTTTTTTTAACTGTTTGAGCATCATATACTCCGTGATGACTGCTTTTTCAGATCGGACAATCTCAACCCTTAATTTGTTTTAGTGTCAAATGGTAAGCACGAAAAAAGTGGCAAACGTTACGTTGGTGTGCCTAAATAGGTTTAAGTTGAACTAGTAACTAGTAACTTTCACTCATCTATCATTACTAATAATTTAAACATTTTGGATGCATAATTAATTCCTGTTAAGTGTTGGATGAATTTGGAACGCTAGATGCGCATTGAACGAGTTTTATATCTCGTATTCGCTAGATGTGCACCAAACAAGTTCTAAATCTAATATTTACCAACAACAACCTATTCTTCATCAACTTCAACTTTGAAACCTATCAATGATGGATGAGATTGAGTTGGTGAATGTTCAAGGGAGTCAGCAGACTTGGCTGAAAGGTAGAAGTTGCAGGGATAGTTTGGATAGAAAAGTTGGATTCTTAAAAGAGGCTTCTCTTTGGAATTTAGATACCAGCTCCTTGAAGGAGATCCAATTATAAGAGATTTAGAATTTAATTCTTGATTTTGAGTGGATCCCACCTTTTTTTACTTGTTACTAAAATGTTGATAAACGCTCGAATGCTTCAAGAAGTATAATTTACTTTCTTTCTATTTCATTCCGGTTTCATAAACACGCCATTAGATTTGCATTCTTTATAGGGGTCTTGTGAATATTTGTGGCTGATGAATCAAGGGTAGAGTAGATAAACAAAAAAGGAAAATGCCTAATGCCTATCAAGTTTTGGATTGAATATTTTGGGAGATTCGTACGTCATTCGACTCATTGCATTAATCCAACTTTCATATGACAAAAATTGTGGATTTTTCGGTTACTTGCTGGTTGAAAGAAAGAAATAATAAGCCTTGGTTGCAGAATTTGACAGTGATCGAGAGGTATTACTTGCTAGTTGAAAGAAACCGTAATGTGCCAATGGTCTTGTCGCCCTGTTGATGAAGATCTTTATCATATTGTGCATTGTACCGAGACAGTTTACGATAAAACATCACACTTGCTATCCTATATATAGGCAAATGCAAGTTGGCGTTAGTATTATGTAATTAGTCGTGAGAAGCTGATTCCTCTATCCAACACCCTCTAAGCTATGCTAAGTAGCAAATCTAGATCCTCTATTGCACTTTGATAGCAAGTTTGATTCTCTCTTCCAATGTTGAAGGTTGTTAAAACATCAAGTAGCTCTTATTTTAGTGGTACTTCTCCTTCTGATATTGAGAACGATCATAAGTTCAAATTATGTCTCTCGATCTGTAAAAAGTAACTTGTTAGAATAATATCATGGATAAATGATAACTTTTACTTAGCATATACAAGACTTACCATTGATCAATATTTTTTTTAAGTAAATGGGCTAATAACCCGACAAAAGGAAAATTACAAAATAACGTCACGGGAAATATAATATGATGCATGTACTTATTGTGAGATGAATTTTGTTGTTAATGACTTGGCCAACCCGAGCGTCTATCGTCTTTCTAGTTTAGTCCACTTTAAGTATGCTCCATCTTCTTATAAACAGTTATTATCGTTTAATATTTCTGAAATAGCCCGGCCTCGCAATTCTTTGATAAACAAGAAAACCTCCAAAACTCATCCCTTATCCCTACAGGTCTTCACTTGATCACATAAAATTTTGGAAATTTATTTATTTAAAAATAGTTGTAGTAGAGTTTACTCTTTGGACAGTTACTGTGTCACGCGACCCAGCTGATGGTCATTTATTGTTAATTTATAAATATTAAAAACTTTGCAAAAATTCATGGTAAATGGGCCATAGGCCTTGGTTTCCGCCTGGGTTACCGGGTTGTCATCGACCCGAGGAAAATGAAAATACTAGTTAGCTGGACCTGGTCTTGGATTGGGTTGGGTTGGCTGAAAATATTATTTGATTTTTAGGTCGGAATTTTTTTTTTAATACTTTGATAGTTTTACATTAACGAGATGTGAAGTTCGGTTAAGCCACATAATGAGTAGTCTAATTTGGTCTTGAATTCACCATCTGCGAGATTTGAACCTAAGACCTCTCACTTCCAAATGAAAAGGAATATCACCAAATCGTAATATTAAGTGGTTTTTAGGTCGGATTTTAGACAGGGTGACTTGCATTCTTTGCCTCTAGTTGAGGCAACTTTCTTCTCCCAGTCAATTACTCAATGAGTCAGAAAGTTGAATTTTCTCACACATGAAAAAGTGCGCATTTAAGTTATATATAAATAAGAGTCGTTAAATTTAATTAGATCAAACTATTTAGTTGCTCACATGTGCAACATAAATTTGTACTTTTGATGTACACTAGAGAAAAGTTCGTGAGAAAGTGCCAGTAATTTTCTTTGGCTTGTTAGCTAAAATGATCTTTGAGATTTGCATAACACATAATTTGGTTCCTGAAATTTGAAATCAATAGAAGTGGTCATTGAGATTGTCCACCATTAATCATTTTAGTCATTCCGTGCAAAATTATGTTAAATAAGGATCAAAGTAACAAATATATCCTCAATTTAATAAACAATGGCCAAAATGATTTGATAAAAATTAAGGGTATTTCAGTCATTCTATTCTTATTTATGGAGATTTTTCAATGAAGGACTAGTATGATTGATGGTGGACAAAATTAGAGACTAATTCTATTGATTTTAAATCTCAATGACCAAATTGAGGAGTTATGCAAATCTTATAGACTATTTTGACTAAAAAGCCTACCTTAGATGGCTAGAAGAGCCTCCTGGGCCTACAATACACAAAACCCATTAGATATGAGATCTTGATAAAGCTCACTACTAGCTTGCTAGCACACGTTTGTCACTGAGAAAAAGACATAGGCCCAAATCAACCCCTCCAGCAAAGGAGATAAGAAAAGGGTTCAATTAAACTTTGGTTTTCTTTACTTATAAGTGTAAGGTATAGAGTTCAACTTATATGGATGACGTAAAAAGGAAAAAGTGAAATATGTCAAGTGACGGTTTGATTGGTTCCCGCTTTGTCTTTTTCAGAAATTTCAGTCAATCCTCTAACTCAATTTCTTTTTATTTTCTCTACAATTTAACATCCAACGCATGCATAGCATGTGACATCCTTATAAGATTTTTTTTTTTTTTTTTTTGGACAAACCAAAATTAACTTTTAAAGTTATAGGCTATTACACCGTTGACCCCTCCATCCATCAAACACAAAAAATTAACTATCATCAATCAAATGAGATTTATTATTCAACATAGTACGACGTCCATTGGTGCAAAACATGAGAAATTTCAATACTACACCCAAATAATAAAGTATAACTTGGCGGTGGAAGGTCAATGATGTGAGAATTCGTAACTCTATGAGTTATTTTGACAATTTTAGAAAAATATATATCAAAACTACTACATGTCTCAAAAACACATATCCAAAGAAGGTGCGTGCAAGAAATAAATATGATTAAACATAGCATAAGTAGCTTTGTTAGACAAGCTTTCATATAATCGTTCCCATTAGTAGATACTAGGTCGTATCAAAACATGAAATGAATGTGACGTAAGTTACAGAGAACTTTATTGAAGGAGAAAACAAGGGTGTGTGTGCAAGAAATGAGATTAGCATAGTAATAAAGAATTTGCGCATTTTTTGGAGTTCTAGACAGGGTTTCGCGCGTGACTAAATTTCTAAATCTTGAATAAATAGTATGGGCTAGACTCTACCATCTTAATCCAAATGTCTCAAATATTCGGGAATTCAATACCTAAAGAAGCAAGTTTGAATGGAAAGTTGCAACTGATTTTGAGGTTTACAGAAAGTTAACAAGCGATATATTCAGTGGGGAAAGAAGATCGAGCTCGGGACCAACTAACGAATATGTTTACAAAAGATAGACATAAAAATTCAGAAGCTCACATCGTCTGCTTGAACTGAATATATAACGTGTAATGTACAAAGCAAGAGAAGAAACAAAAAAACACACGACAGCAATGCCTTCTAATACGAAGCAGATTGGTTTTAAATTAAAAGACATTTCGAAAGAAAATTAGAGCTGACGTATAACGAACTGTGGAAGAATAGCTTGCAGATATATGGGGATACATGTTTAAATTAGGCAACATACTTGAGCATCAGTAGCGTGTTCGTCTTCGATTGAGGTATGATTCTCTAATTGCCTTCAGTTTGTTAACAACAACATTCATTGGCATCCGCTCTTTGGGCGATATTGAAGAGCATGCGAGCCCTATTTCCATCACAGAAACCAAGCACTCCTCCAATCTTTTCACTTGGGCTGAGCTCCGATCTTGATATTTTGTAATTGGTCCTTCTTGTATTTTGTATTCTTCATCATCAGCATCCGGATCATATATTTCAAGGAGCAATGAACGGTCAACAACGTCCATGACATGGTCTGGCAACGCCATGGCTGTGAAACGGTGAATGCTTTGACCATCTATAAACACGTCATCGGTAGGGCTTTTCCCTGTGAACATTTCTAGTAGCAGTATCCCGTAGCTATAAGTATCTCCGAGTATAGAAACTTGGTCTCCCATGCCATACTCTGCCAATGAATACACAAAAGAATGCCATAGTCAAATGACCTTTTGGATTTAGGTCTTGTTTCAGAGTTGGCTCAATAAAGAAAATGATAGAAACTCATACCTGGAGGAATGTAGCCTATCCTTTAGACCTGCTGACATTGTTTGACTTGCGGTAAGATTGTTCGAATTTGAAGCTTCCAAAAGGAACCTTGCTAATCCTAAGTCACCAACATGGGCTACCATGTCTTCATCAAGAAGCACATTGCTTGGCTTTAGATCACAGTGAACAATAGGCGTTTCACATTGGTAGTGTAGATAATCTAATGCAGAAGCAACATCAATTGCAATATCTAGTCTTTCGGTAAGGCTCAATATTCTCTTTGTTTGAGATTGCTCATCATTTTTGGGATGAATCCACGGATCTAGACTTCCATTTTCCATGAACTCAAAAACTAGACTTTTGAAGTCATTACCTTGATTGTCAATGCTTGAGCATGCAGTTATGATCTTGAGGAGATTACGGTGCCTTATACTTTTCAGAGTTTTGCATTCATCAATAAAACTCTTGGAAGCTCCTGGTTGTTGAAGGTTCAATACCTTAACGGCAACTATTGCTGCATCACTTGACGGTACTCCTTTGTAAACAGAACCAAAACTTCCCGAACCAATCAGATTGTCCATAGAGAAACCTTTAGTTGATTGAAAGAGTTCATAGTATGAGAGACTTGATTTCCAGTCCTCATAAGAGCGTAAAGTCACAGGTTTGCGTCTTGACCTTTTCACCATTGAACAAGCAGCAATAAAGCATGATAGAGCAATTATGAGTGCAAGAGAAGAAGCTATAGGGATGACTACTTTCAGGGCAAGTAGTCCTCGAGTTGAATGGGGCTTTTTGTCGGAGCATGCAGTTAGATTAATTGTGGGATGCCACCACAGAGCTTATCATTTCCAAGAACTGACACGCAACCTGCGTTAAAAAATATCCCTTCTTTAGGTAATTCCCCATCAAAATTATTATGAGAAAGATTAAGTTTCTCAAGTAATGTAAACTTGCCTAGAAATTCAGGAAGCTGCCAAGATAAGTTATTGCCCAAAATATCTATTTCTTCCAAGCTTCTTAAATTTTTAAGAGATTAAGGAATTATTCCCTCAAATTTATTACCTTCTAAACGCAGGCGCACCAACATTATACAACTACCAAGAGTTTGTGGATTTCACCTGATAACTTGTTTTCTTATACATCTAGCTCTGCGAGATTTACCAAATCACCCACTTCGGATGGTAGCGAACCAGTCAAAGAATTGTGAGACATGTTCAAAGAAATGGAAAGGGATGAAAGCGCAAGCGGCTGTTTAGGTAGGGAACCAGATAGATTGTTATGAGAAAGGTGAATTATCAGTAGAAATTGGCAGTTGGCAAGACTTGGAGGGATGCTTCCCTCGAACATATTCCAGTCCAAGTAGAGGTTTGTCAACGCAGACAAGTTACCCAGGGAGGAAGGAATTGGCCCAGAAAGTTTGTTACTATTCAGATACAACTCCACTAATTTCTGAAGCTTCCCAATTGTATTAGGGACAGTACCACCAAAATTGTTATGTTCTAGTACTAGGGCTGTCAAGTTTACAAGATTTCCAATACCCTCAGGGATGACTCCATGTATCATATTATCCCCCAGAGTAAGAGTAATTAGTTGGGTTGACTAGATTGGCTATCGATCCTGGCAGCTCTCCTCCAAAACGATTACCATAAAGACCTAAACTCTCCAAACGAGTACAATTAGCCAAGAAAGTAAGAAAATTCAAGTCATCGGGTTTTCCACTTCCTAGTCTATTTTTTCAAAGTTTAGCAAAACTAAGCTCCGTAAGCTTCCAAGATTTTCACCGTGGAGTGCCCCAGTGAGAGAATTTCTGAACACATCAAGCCTCTCAAGTCTAGAAGCATTTCCAGGTGAAATGAGACAGGAACACGCCCTGTGAACTTGTTGGCACCAGCGAAAAACCCTATGAGATTAGGAAGAGTATTGCCGACATTTGGTGGTATCTCTCCTTGCAGCTGGTTCTCAGTAACATCGAAAAGGTATATGGAAGAAATATTATAGATTGAAGAAGGGACCGTACCAGATAAATTATTCGCCTGAAGTGAGAATCTCTCCAAGCTTGTTAGACGCCCGAGTTCCTTAGGTATGATTCCCTGTAAATTGTTGCTGCCAAGATAAACAGTTTTCAAATAAGAAAAGTTTCCTACCCAATAAGGGATGGTTCCGGGGAGACTGTTGTAATCAACCCATAGATGATTTAAGTTCAACAACAAGCTGAGTTGGTCAGGAATCGACCCAGTAAGCTTGTTGGAATAAATACTGAGCACTTTTAGTTGGGTACAAGTAGACATATTGGTTGGAATTTTTCCGCCGAAGGAATTGTAAGACAGGTTGAGATATTCCAAGCTTCTTAATCGACCGATTTCTTGCGGAATTTCACCATGGAAGCCGTTGCTTGTAAGGTTAATCCCAGTAAGATAAGTGAGGTTTCCAATAGAAGGGGGTAAGGAGCCTACTAAATTTTGAGAATTCAACTTCAATGTCAGGACTCTTTTGTTGGAATTGTTACATGTAACACCTCTCCAGCCACAGAAATCGGTGGAATCATTCCATGAGCTCATGATATTTTGAGGATCTTCAGTGATCATTTTCTTGAAGTCTAGCAGTGCCAGTCTGTCGGATTCATTTCCGAAAGTACTGCTTGACAGTGCTGCAGATTCCAGACCATTGCTCATGTATAAAAGAATGAACCCAAGAAGGAATTTAGACAAAATCTGCCTCCCATCGTGCATAGATGAATGCTTCATCCTGTTTGAAATACAGATAAAAAAACAGCAACCAAGTTTGTATACATGATTAGGACAGAGTCATGGAGAGGAATTCAACAAAGACCAGCATTCACGTCCTATACGGCGTTAGGAAAACTTGTGAGACAGAAAATTTAGATCTCATTTCCCAGTTCTAATTGCTTTCGAAAATTTCGCAAGGACTAGACTAATTGTAGGGTTATTCTATGATGCGAAAAAATGATTATAGTGATTTGGTTGAATATGAATGTAGATTTTGTTTCAATTGGATTGTGGAGATTAGATTTCTAGTCGAGAAGCAATTAAGACTTATATGCGTATTTCTTGCATCTGCAGAACTAGTCAAGAAGGTGAAGTGTCATAGCCGAGAGATCATGAAATATCAATCATGTTGTCTACTTTTATTGTAAACGATTAATATAGTATGTTAGTTAATATGAACAACGTGACGATGTGATAGTCACATTCAAATATTTAATGTGCAAAATGTTCTAAGAAAAACTAGTGTTAGTAGTCCTAACCACAACACTTTCATATATTCATGTATTATATTAAAGACAAACAATCGTCAACAATGCACCGAAATTCAATTGCCCGAAAATATATCAAAATTGTTTTAGTTGAAATTTATCAGAAATAATCAAAGATCATAGAAAAACTGACCTAAGTGATGAGTTAGTGCCTGATTGAAATACTCAGCTGGGGGAAGGGAGATCATGCCTTCAACATTTTGCAGTCTGCAGCAGCTATAAATTTGTGATTTTCTCCGTTCTTGTTTGCTAGAAATAAAAAATCTGAGTTTCTGAAAGCTGGGTACCACTGCTGCTATTAATCTTGATCTTAAATTGTTCGTCGGTTGATTACGATAAGATAAGCGTGATCCACTGATTTATTCTGGGTGTTGAAAAGTCTGGTGGGTATTGAATGCCCACAGTATATTAGCAGAAGTTGTTTTCAGCATAGGTAGAAGTTTTCAATGCCCATGCAAAGTAAAAGTTGAATATGTAAATACATAGAAATTGTATTGTCAAAGGAAGTGCCATAAGTTTCAAAATGCATTAACTGCATTAGTTTGGAGTTGCTCTATAAATAGAGCACTCCATATGTTTTCAAGTTACAGAAAAGATAAGAAGAAAGAAAACGAGAGAAAAATATCAGTAACATCATCTATTCCTCTGTCTCTATTTGTTATTCTATTGTGCTATATTTTAGTGTGACATATTACATCTATCTCGCACCTAGCATTAAAATGTTATCTCTCTAACTTTGATCTATTTATAATACTGGGTGCTTTTTTTTTTTTTTTGGTCAAAAGGGCTGCTGATGTTGACAACAGTTGCTATCTGCCAACTGGGTGCTTTTTTTTTTTTTTTGGTCAAAAGGGGCTGCTGATGTTGACAACAGTTGCTATCTGCCAACATGGATATTGTCAACATCAGTTACTACCTATTATAAATATTCAACATCAGTTGCTATCTGCCAACTGGGTGCTTTTTTTTTTGGTCAAAAGGGGCTGCTGATGTTGACAACAGTTGCTATCTGCCAACATGGATATTGTCAACATCAGTTACTACCTATTATAAATATTGTCAAGTGGGGTGGGAAATGTAGTTAATACTAGCCGCCCAAATTATAGAGTCTTTAGATATTAGATGTATAGATTGTGATGTAAAGAGGTCTTAAGGGAGACAAAGGAATATACAGACAATTGACCACAAACCCATTATTTCTGAGATGGTATTAGAGCAGTCGATCATGATGACTGACTTCACGAACGCTTCATCCTGTTCGAAATACAGCTAAAAAAATCATATAACACAGACTACTAGTCAAGATACAGAAAAAAAAAAAAAAAAAATCATATAACACAGAGTCAAGAAGGTGAAGTGTCATTAGTGACGAAGCTAGAAATTATTTGGGATTGCAAAATTTAAACGTGAAAAAGGTTTCAAAAAAATTTAGACAACCAAATTCTTTTAGATATTAGACAATATTAATGTTATTCATAATTTATCAATATAAACAAGTTACAATGGTTACCGACGGGGTTTCATATCAGAAAACGCTACATAATAGGCTCATTATCAATAAAAACAAAAAAATTCTTTCAATGTTAAGAACAAAGCTATCGCTCAATCATTGATCTCCTATTTTGTATGCAATGATGTTTTGACAATATTCATAGCAGAAAACGGTCTTAAAGTCATTTACATCATTTCCTCACAAATTTTTTGTACATCATGAAACAAGTACTCAAAGTCAACATCTCTCAAGTTTAAAAGAAAATAAGAGAAAATAATTTAAAACTCTAGAAATAATAACAAGAATTAAAAAAGGAACAAAGCTTAGCGGTTTAAAATAATAAAGGAGCTCATGCTCTCACCGAATAACATGATTCTAAAAAACGCTAGGCACTAGTTGGGCAGCGGACTAGAGTCTAGCACCTAGGCGACTAACTAGGTAGAACCTAGGCGGATGGTTAGGCGGACTAGACGGATTTAATAAATTTAATATAAATGATATATATACACTAAAAGAGAAAATGAACCGAAACACTATTTATAAGCACAATGTTGTTCCGATTTTAGCCCCTGTTTTTTCCCTTTTTTTCAACTTTGCCATTTTGCCTTGCTGTCAAGTGTAGCAGCATTCTGAAATATGTGGGATCCTGTTCCATCGACACTTAATCGAATCGATATCAAGTGTTAAGGTTTTAGGGGTTCGGTCTTCAAATTCCGGCGAATTATTTCTGTCTGAACACCGGCGACAAAATTGTTGTTTGGTTGTCGAGAAAATATGTAAAAATTGTTGTTTGCTTAGTATATGTTTTCATAATTAGATCATATCAAGCTCCATTCACGTCCACTTCTATTCCAAAGAGCCCATCTTTTGTCAATGGCGACAAAGGAGGCTAGGCCTGAAGCCAAACCAGAACCAAAAGAAATTGAAGAGAGTTTTGAACCTCTTATCAAATACAAGGTAATTAAAACTAAAATATCATTTTTATGAACACCAATCAGCTTCTTTGCCCGCTAGGTCCATTGTTCTTCATTTTGCATGTCTTTCAAAGGATATTTGAGGATAGAGATTTAATACTCCTCAATTTGGGATTTTTGTGTTGTAGATTTTGCAACAGCAGTTGCATAGGAGGCAGGGAAGCCATTGGTGATGGAAAGGGTGAAGTTTGCTTCACCTAAGGCCATGGAAATGAGGGTAAAGGTCAAATATACCTCAGTTTATCACACTGAACTCTACTTCTGCTGAAGGTCAGCAATAATAGCTACTACATACATATAATATACATAATATATACATATACGTGTGTGTCTGCGTGTGTATGTGATTTTATATGATTAACCTTTGAGAATTGCAGATTTGTAAACTATGAGTAGAGTTTTCTAGGCACATTTACTTCGAGTGAATACATTGGTGTTCATTCTGGCCGTCTTTCCAAAATTAAGCCCCTTGCTCAGTTGGACAAAGTTTGAATCCTCAGTTGTGCCATACCGACAAGTTTAGTGTCCTTCTCAATGCTTTAGAGCCTTGAATTATGCAACCTAAATTGATACTACATATTGATTCGTTTGCATTATACTGGATATTTTGTTTTTTAATATTAGGTTTGGGTGCCCCTCTGAATGTAGCTAGACGAAAAATTATCCTCAGTTGCTGTTTATTGGCCTCACTGTAAATTTGGAGAAACTTTGTTGATCCCAAATTCTTTGTTCTAATAAATTGCGTTTATTTTCTTTTCCGTATTTATACTGATACATGCATGATCTAGGCTACTAAAGGTGCAAGAATTTTTGGGGCGCAATTGAGTATTGGGGTGGAGTCGGTGGATTTGGTTTAAAAGGTAGTTTAGTGGAAAAACACATAAACATATTTTTGCTTAAACATTCTTTTCCTGGTCATAACCATGGTCTTAAATATCGATATTTCGCCGATAATATCGTTTTTTTGAGATGGGGATATTTGCACACATATCCATCTTATGTTTGTTAATATATCGGGATAATATCGGTAATATCAGTAATATCGGGATAATATTGGTAATATCGGGATAGCATCGATAAAATAAACATAATAATTCAGTGTGTGTGTCGGTGTGTGTATGTGTGTGTCAGTGTGTGTGTGTGTTATGATAAGTTACATAATATATATAATATAAATCCCCCAAACGTGCCAACTTTTGAAACTTTTGACAACTTTTGACAAAACAAAAAGTAGTGGTGGTTGGTTTCATACTCAAAACTGTGTGCCACTTCCAACTCTTTCACATTCAGAGTATCAGATCATCACACCTCTATTACACCTTTTCGTTTCTTCTTCTTCCCTTAGCCCTTTCAAAGCCTTTCCAGAGCCCTTTTAGAGCTTCAACACAAAGGGTTCCATATTTAAGGCAAGTTTACAAACTTATATTTATATTATTGCAATTTATACAACAACAAAAAAATTTGTGTGGACTCGTACATGTGATCTAAGAACCAAATAATACTTGCATGTTAATTCTTTGAAGTAATTAAGTAATGTTGTATAATTATTCCCTAGGATAATTTTAATATGTTTAATGTTATTTATTATTTTATTATTTTATTAATATTAGGTTTTATTATCAAATTGGATTATTATTCATTAAATTGGATTATTATCAAATTGGATTATTCATTAAATTGAATTATTATTAAATTGGATTATTATCAAATTGGATTATTATTCATTAATATTAGGTTTTATTATTCCATATTATTTTTATAATTACTTAAATTCTTACAATCATTTTTTTTACTTCGTATTTCTTCTGTAGAATAACTTTATTATTTAGGTTCCCTTATATAACCGTCATCACTACTATATTTTTTGGCCAAAAAATAATTGCCTAATTTCCATGAAAAATAAATATAGGTACGTTTAAGATGTCTAGTGGAGTTACTAAACGTGATCCAGCTTAGGAACATGGAGACCCAATAGACGGAAACAAACATGGCACAATTTGCAAATATTGTGGTCGGGTAATGAAGAGTGGCGGAGTGACATGACTTAAGTACCATCTTAGTGGATTAGATCCAGGAAATAATGTCCAACGATGAGATAATGTACCCCCATAAGTGAAGGCATTCATCACCACATTATTAAAAAATAAAAAACACCAGAAGGAAAAGAAAACACATGGAATGGAAAATATTCGAGTTGGGCTACGAGGAGAAGTCATTGGCCAAGTAGTTGACAATGATGATGATGACGATGAGGACAAATGTGATGATGACATAGGACTTGAAGAACGACGCAATTTCAAACAAGCATTACGTGTCTCCAAACAGTCAGCATGGGAAAGAGAACACCTTCATAAAATTCCTAATAGAGCACAAGGTTCCGGGACAAGTGGTGGTGCACAAATGAGACGGGGAGCAAGTGTTAGAGAATCACAACCAACACCACCAATAGCCCTAAGTTTATATAAGTTATCCAAAGCACGTCAAAAAAGTGTTTGAAGTTATTTCACTGGAGGTAATATGAAGGAGGAAATGGGGCATCTAATTAGCAAGTTCTTTATCTATGAAAATGTCCCTGCTGAGAAGGCATCATCACATCATTTCAAAAATATGGTATTGGGATGTCAACATGCCGGTGTTGGAGTATAACCTCCCACTCCCTATGAGGTAAGAAACAAATATTTGGAAATGGAGTATAAAGACATTGGCGAGTATGTTAACAAGTTGAGGTCAAAGTGGGAAACTAATGGTTGCACAATCATGTGTGACGGATGGACTGGCCCAACCAGATTGTCTATCATAAACTTCATGGTATACTCCAAGGGAAAGATAATTTTTTTGAAGTCCGTTGATGCTTCAGACCATATAAAGAACTACAAGTATATTTACAAA